TTCACGAGCAGTTTGTAACAGATCACAGCAGACTAGACGGTTCCAGGAGGGGAGGTTTATTAAGACAGTGGGAGAGAAAGGAGTAGAAGAGGAGAGGCCGCCCATGACCACTTGGAGAGAGGGGGAAGGGGAGCAAGAGAGAGAGGAGGGGCAAACAGCCCCCTTTTATAGTGGGCAGGGCTACCTGCCTGTTGCCAGGTAACTGTGGGGCGGAGCATACCTGGCCGCTGCCAGGTAACTGTGGAGGTGGAGTTTAACAGATTACTAACACTGAGAACCACACTTGGGCCTCTGCAAGAGCACTTCACATTCTTGTGGCCTGTCACACGGCCTGTCAGTTATGATATTGATAGCAATTGCTTAGACCCTATGCATATACTTCTGATTATATTATTAGATATGGCCAGTGCTGGAGGCCAAGCTTAGTGGTATAGTGTATGCTTTGCAAGCACAGGAAACATTTGGCTATGTGGTCTTATCTGGCCTGGAACTTGCTATGCATATCCAGTTGAGAATCAACTTTTTTCTTTAAGATTTACTTTAATTTTACCTTTGGGAGCACATACAGAGGCCAGAAGGAAGCACTGGACCACTTGGGGCTGGAATTAGCCCTTGTGGGTACTGGGAATTGAGACTGGGCCCTCTGGAAGAGTGCAAGCTCTCCTAACCACTGAGCCATCATCTCTCTAGATCCACAAGTTAGCATTTAAGATACAGATATTTTGAAAAAAAAAATCTAAATTACTAGTTTACCTTTTAAAGAGCAGAAAACTTTTATATTGTCCAGTATAGCTTCAAACGTCCACTCAAGCAATCCTTTTTTTGCCTCAGACTCCCAAGTAGCTAGAACTAGAGACAAGGACCTGAGCATCCTGCTAAAATGAATGTTGTTGGCATATGTTTATATGTTTAATAAAGACTTTCTTTTCTTTTTTCCTTTTTTTTTCTTTTTTTTTTTGAGTTATCTAACTAGGCTTCTTTCCTTAAAGAAAATTCCTTTTAATGTTATCATTCCTTTTTTTTTTTTTATATTGAAACCAAGAGTTGAGGGGGAAAAACAGAAAGGTGGAAAGCTGCATTTTTACCCAAACTTGAAAGGAGAAAGACTCAAGGGGCGTGGTTTTCAGAACACAAGCTTGCAACCTCCCTCCTCCAGATGGGGGAGGAGATCTCGCGAGAGCTAGGTGGTTGCTATAGTTACAGAAAACAACCAGGGTCTGCCTCAGGTAAGATAGTTATTCCGTTTCAGAGACTGTAGTTGTCACTCCCACTACCCAGATCTTTTCTTCCAGGATTCTCAGCTCTTTCCCTTCAGTTAAGGCCAGGTTGAAATTCTCGCTCAGCTGTGCCCAAGATCCCACTTCATCCAGAGCCGGGTCCAGTGCATCTCCGTCCTCTGCCCTTTCCCCGAGTCGATGGTTGCGGTCCGCCTCTGAGCCTGTGATTGGAAATGGATGCCTTGTTGAGGGCAAGAGCAAGAGTTGGGCATTTGTGCAAGGTCACAGTTACTCAGTAGGAAAATCGTAATCTTCACGTCTGGGACTTGGATCTGGTTCAGTGAAGTGTTTGCACGGCATGAGTGAGGCTCTTGTCTGCCTAGCACTGCAAGGTAAACCAACGGAACCCTGTCCTCATAAACAAACCCAGTGTCCCAGAAGAGAACGAGCTGAATTCACAGCCACGGTGAATGTTCCCAAGTTGGAGAGAATCTTCATCGACTAAGAAGTGTATAAAGTGAACGAGTAGCCTTGGTATCTGCTTTAAGAAAGATGAACAGAAGAGAATAAAGAAGGCAAAGAACGTGAGGTTCCAACGTGATTATATGCATACACTGGGGCAGGGAGGAGAGTAATGCAGCTGAACTGTATTTTCTCTGCTTTGATCTTCAGATTTATTCTCACATTATGATCCACACATACTGAGAGAATTGATTTGCTTTTTGATCTTTGCTTTTGAACTTTTGACTTTTTTTTTCTTTTTGCCTGGAACAGCCTTCATTTTACACTATTCTTTTAGCTCCGGGTCACCTCTGATGAGATGTTCCTGGTACACACATTCACACATGCACGCTCAGATCCAGTTAGGTCCCAGCTACAGTACACCCCTGCTCAGTGATGGGCCGGTAAGAGAGCAAATTTGTCTGATACTCACTTTCCTTTTTTATCTGTATGGCATATGCAGAGGCTTTAGTATGTACCAAGACATAATTGAAAGCTAGTTCCCTCCCCACTCCCCAATCATCTGTCAGATTGCCTGTCACAAAGCTTACACCTCTTGGTCTATTAACATGTCTCTCTTCCTCACTAGACTTGGGGGCTTATATCTTCTCTGTTATCCTCAGCATCTGTCCCTACCCTAACTTAATAAAGTTTGCTCAATTAATGATTTTGACAGAAATGGAATGGATTCAAATAAAGTCAGACTCAAAGACGTGTTACTGTAGCACAAGGAACACAGATGAGCAAGTTCATATGGTACCAATCCCAACTATACATTTGATAAGGAAATTGCCAGTGCCACTGAGGCCCTGAAAAAGCCTGGAAGCATTTGTGTGACAAATCAGTCTTTTAGCCAAGGGCAAGACTGAGGGAGTCACTGAGGAACAGCACGGTGACTTTGGTGAAGCCTGAAGGCTGGGAGTAGCATCACCCATCCCTGATAGACACACACAGTTTGTTCTCACAGATACAGTCTACTTCTGGTTTTAAATTTATTTTCAGTAAACACAAAACAAACCTATGACAGATCCACACATCTCAGTCCTTGTACTTAGTTTAGATCTGTTCTCCCGTTTGTCCGACTTTTCCCTTCCCTCCCCCACCCCCAAACAGTCTCACATCTGCTTTCCTGTAGTGTTTAAACCTAGGTACTACACAGGAGAGGGAACAAGTGATGTTTGTCTCTTTTCCCTCGAATTATCCTTCTTTATCCCTCCTCCCTTTGTACCTTCCTCCTACACACCCACTTCTACCTTCTTGTTATGTATATATTACATATTTAAATATAAATTACTTCATATGAGAGAAAATATACAGATTTGTCTCTCTGAATCTGAGATGTTTTCCTTAATACAATCATATCCAATTCCATCCATTTTTTGTTAATAACATGAGTCCATTATTCTTTATACTTTATTGTATATATAACGTATATATGATATATATATGTATGTATATATATGATATTTATATAATATTCTCTTCATTCATCTTGTGAGCTTCCAGGCTGGCTCCATACCTTGGCTCTTTTGAATGAACATGATGTACAAGTTTCTCTGTGTATGATGGATAACATGACAATTTTATTTTTACCTTCTTTATATGTTTGGGTGTTTTGCTCGAATGTATGTCTGTGCACCATGTAACATGCCTGGTGCCCTCGGAGGTCAGATCCACTGGAACTGGAATTACAGAGAGTTGTGAGCCAGCATGGAGGTGCTGGGATAGAACCTGGGTCCCCTGGAAGAGCTGCCAGTGCTCTTCACCACTGAGCCATCTCTCCTGCATGCCATTATTACTTTTTTGAGGAACTTATATATGGATTCCCATAACGGCCGCACTAGTTTACTTTCCTGGCAGTGATGTACAAGGCTTTTCCTCATCATATTCCACTTTGGATTGAAGTAGAAAATCTGCTCGTTAAGAAACAAAACAAAACCAAACCCAAGAGATAGTGGAGTGTGGCTCCCTTGGCAGAGTCCTTACACAGTGCGCATCCACGAAGGCCAGATTCCACCCCCAGCACAGCATACTCTTAAATAATCCCAGGAAGTAGAGGCAGGAGAATCAGGAATTCAAGGTCAGCCTTAGCTGTCCTTTTTTTGTTTTTGTTGTTGTTACTGTGATAAAATACTCTGACAAAAGTGACTTAAGGCATAAAGGCTTGATCTCAGCCCACAGTTCCATGTTACAGTCCATCATGGTGGGAAAGCCAGGCCCCAGAAGCTTGGTGAACCTAGTCACATTTGTCAGCCATCAAAGAGCAGCGTGGACCTGCTGCTAGTGCTCAGCTGGCCTTCTCTGTTCATGCAGGATCCCACGACCAGGGAATGGAGCCACCCACAGGAGGTCAGTCTTTCTACTTCAACCCGACTTAGACTATTCCCTACAGGCACACAACCCCAGGAGAGTATAGATTTGTCAAGTTGATAGTACTAATTATCACAGGGTTAACCTAAGCTATATAAGATCCTGTCTCATAACAAGCAGACACTTAGAATCTATCTGTCTATCTATCTATCTATCTATCTATCTATCTATCTAGTGGGACAGGGTTTGTCTGTGTAGCCCTGGGTGACTGGTTTTTTTGTTTTTTTTTTTTGTTTTTTTTTTTTTATTCTTTTTTTTTTTTTTTTTTTTAATTTTTATTTATTTATTATATGTAAGTACACTGTAGCTGTCTTCAGACACCCCACAAGAGGGCATCAGATATCATTGCAGATGGTTGTTAGCCACCATGTGGTTGCTGGGATTTGAACTCGTGACCTCTGGAAGTACAGTCAGTGCTCTTAACCACTGAGCCATCTCACCAGCCCGAGGGTGACTGGTTTTTAATTCACTATGTAGACCAGGTTGTCCTAGAACTCTTAATCCTCCAGCCTCAGCTTCCCAAGTGCCAAAGTTACAGAGGTGTGTGCTGTCACACCTGGACAACAATTTAGTTTTGAAACTGTTTGTAAAATTATTTGAAAATACTGATGTAGAGACATAAGCCTTTGTTGTTTCAAGATTCCATAAAACTGGGACATAATCTTGGAAGGGAGCTTCCCAGACCACGGAGGAAATGTGGGTGGACCAGTGAGCAAGGACAGCTGTAGTCTCCTGACTATTTGCATTTCATAAGCCAGTTCTGTGTTAAGGAACCTTTAGCATCAGTTAGTGGAGCCATGCAGGGGACAACTTCCTGAAAGCACTTCCTGTCCAACAGCAGAGGTGGCAAAAAGTGGGTTACAAAGTAGGTTAAACAGGGATAAACAGTGTTGGCCTGTAATGTGTCTGCAGCTCCTGTGGTCCTGGTTTTGATGTCATCCACAAAGAAACAAACTCATCTGTTTTCTTTATAGAGGCCAAAGAAGACCAGAGAGACTTTGACCAAGTGCTGACATGGACCAGACGTCAAACACAGTGAGAACGGTGCACATCACTGTGACAAATGGATATGATCTGGTAAATTGACTCTGGAAACCCAGAGTTCCCGTTTAGAGCATGGCTGGAGGGTGGAGGGGAAGACCGAAGTTTTGTGTAATCTTCTCCCTCTAAGCAGAGTGATCTTCTCCCCAGTGTCCCGAGTTGGTAGTCTGCACTCCACAAGTCATCATGTCATGGTCTAGAATACCTGGCCTTTTGAATGCTAAATTTAACAGGAATTAAACAAATCATTTCTGTTTTGCTATGTAATTTCCTCCCCCTCCCCCTTTCTTCTGAAACAGAGTTTCACTAGCTGAGTCTCCCTCAAATTCACAGCAATCCTCCAGTTTCAACCTCCTAGATGCTGAAATTACAGCACGAGCCACACCATCTGACTTCGAATTCCCTTCTTCCCTTTCTTCTGAGAAGGATCTCAACTCTTCCAGCATTCTCTCTCTGAGTAATTTCATTTTAGGAATTCAAATAATAGACATGTAATAACCATCAAGAATTAGGTGAATACTCTTGCTCTCTTGTTCTTGCTCTCTCTTGCTCTCTTGATCCCTCTGTCCCCTTGCCCCTCCCCCCTTCCCTTTCCCCTCTTCACGTGCTCATGGCCAGCCTCTACTTCTCTACTCTTTCCTTCTCTCTGCCTTTCTCTGCTTCTACTACCCTCTTAACTCCCCTCCCCATGCCCTGAATAAACTCTATTCTATACTAGAAAATAAAAGAAAAAGAATTAGGTGAATAATGAAATGGGGAAAGTATTCAATGTCCTGGAGTTTACAGAGCTGTTGTTTAAAAGGGCATAGTTAATAAGTTGTTTGTTTAATAATGCACATATAAAATATATACATGTATTCACAGAAGCATAAAAATATACCCTGAAGTGTTAATAGTCCCTGCACAATAGAATAAAGCCACAGGATTTTATTTCCCTGTGTTATTTTCTTCTCACTTTTTAAAGATGTGTGGCATTTGAAACTGTGACATAATGTTTGTGCCCACAGAAAGGCTTCAAAGGAGACACCCCAGTTACTTTTGTCCGTGCAGAATTCAACCAGGCAGTTCTCGGAGACTCCTCAAAAATCACTGTCTCTCCAGAGGGAACTGCAAAGTACAACTTTACAAGCAACATTGACCTCAGCCCAGATGGAGGAATTACTTTAGATGACCTCGCCCACAAACCTTTATTCCGTAAGTCTCTAAGTGCCTTGCAAGGAGCTTCTGAGCATGGAGCCCCTATGATGCTGGAAGGAGCAGTGCAAGCTTTTTTTTTTTTCTTACTCCCTTTACATTCTGCTCACTAACCCACTCCTGGTCACCCACTCCTTTAGTCCTTCCCCCATTGCCCCTTCCCCTTCTCCTCTGAGCAGATGGGCCACCCGCCCCCCTGGGTATCTCCCCACCCTAGCACTTCAAGTCTCTATGAGACTAGGAACTTCCTCTTCCACTGAGGCCAGACAAGGCAGCCTGCCTAAAAGAACATATTCCACGTGTAGGCAGCTTTTGGGGTACCCACCCCGATCCAGTTGTTCGGGATCTACATGAAGACCAAGCTGCACATCTGGTACATATGTGTGGTGAGGCATAGGTCCAGCCTGTATATGTTCTTTGGTTGGTGGTTCAGCCTTTTAGACCAACAAAGGTCCAGGTTAGTTGGCTCTGTTGGTCTTCCTGTGGAGTTCCTATCCCCTGCAGAGCCCAAAATTATTCTTCCATAAGAGTCCCTAAGCTCTGTCCACTGTTCAACTGTGGGTGTCTGCATCTGTTTTGATCAGCTGCTGGGTGGAGCCCCTCAGAGGACAGTTATGCTAGGCTCCTGTCTGCAAACATAACAAAGTATCATTAATAGGGTCAAGGACTGGTGCTTGCCCATGGGATGGGTCTCAAGTCGGGCTAGTTATTGGCTGTCCATTCCCTCAGTCTCTGCCCTATCCCCCATGCCTGCAACTCTTATAGACAAAAGCAGGAAGTAATAGCACCATAGGTTTTGTTTTATCTGCCTCTGGTACCAAAAACCATGGCATGCTCATTTTAATCAGCTTTTTGTTTGTTTGTTTTCTAGCAGTTTCCTTTGTATCATGATACTTATGGTTGCCAGGTTTTAGGGGGAAATGATTTAAAAAAAAGAAAGAAAGAAAAACCTGTAGTGGGAGATATTTAAATCTCCATCCCAAATATGACCAGTCAATGAAAACACAACTCAGTAATTATGAATATATTCTGTAAGCCTAGATTGGGCAGATACACATACACTACTCTGTTCCCCAGCTATGAGACCCTTATAACTTGAGGGTTTTCCAGACCCTGCATCTGTCCTTCTACCTCCTGCTTCCCAGTCGTCCTCTCTGTTGTTGTCTTCCCCCTCCATTGTCTTCCTCCAGAACTCCCCTCTGCTCTCTTCCACCAACCTTTATTTCTCCACCGCCCCTTCTTCTGCCCAGTCACTGGCTCCAGCCTTTATTTTTCAAATTAAGATGGGCAGAAGGTTCACTAGAATTCACCTGTGTAATGACTCACACCTCCTCTGCAGCCCTGCACATGAAAGAGGAATTAGTATCAAAATACAAGGCGGGGGCTATCCACAACAAAAACCTAAGGAACTTGAGAGAAGGTTTAAAATTGTCCATTGTTTATTTGACATTCAAGTCTAACTGGGTATCCTGTATTATCTGTGCTTTTATATATACACCAACACTAGTGGCCATTTTTCATTTGCCTCTCCTGCTAAAGAATGTACTTCTTAAAATCAGGGCTGGATTTAGTTTATTTCACAATTTTCAATTCCTAGAAATATCTGTAGCATTATAAATGCTTGGCATTTTTGTTGAGGGAGCTGGATGGAGAAGAAGGGGATGGTTTCTGCATCTGTATTTTTCTAGCTTCCATGTACACGTTATGTCTTTATATCTGATGTAATAATGTTACACTTGTGTGCTAGGTCTTTTACTTTGTTTTCTTTTAATCGATTCTCTCTCTCTCTCTCTCTCTCTCTCTCTCTCTCTCTCTGTCTCTCTCTCTCTCTGTCTCTCTCTCTCTGTCTCTCTCTCTGTGTGTGTGTGTGTGTGTGTGTGTGCGTGTGTGTAAAGTCTACCTATCTCAAGATGACCTCACCCCACCCCTACCCTAACACAGTGTTAGTTAATGTTCTAGGTTAATGTTCTATTTCTGTGAAGAGACACCATGACCATGGCATCTCATATAAAAGCATTTAATTGGGGGCTTGCTTACATTCAGGGGTTTAGTTCATTATCGTCATGATGGGAAGCATAGCAGCACACAGGCAGACATGGTACTGAAGAGGTAGCTGGGAGTTCTACATGCAGATCAGGAGGCAGCAGGAAGAGAGAGTGACACTGGGCCTGGCTTGAGCTTCTGAAACCCCAAAACCCACTCCCAGTGACACACTTCCCCCAACAAGTCACACCTTCTCATGCCACTCTCTAAGTATTCAAATATATGAGCCTACATATGCTTGCCACAGGCTCCCAAGTTTTATGTGGGTGCACTCACAGTAGAGGAACAGGTGTGATCTTAAGTTCACTAGGACCGAAACTTCTGAGATGATGGAGTAGACACACTTTTCTCTGTTTCTCAGAAGCACAGCTGGGCATTGTGTGAAGCATTAGGGGACAGACGGGTGGTGAGAAGGGTCATATGTACCTGAAGTAACTTGGTAAATTCCATAATTTCCTTTTTAACTTCTAAATCCCAGACTTTCTACATAAGAAGTTAGTACCGTAAAACCATCAGTGGGTTCATTTTAATTTGTATGTGCATGTATGCCATGAATGTGTGTTTGGAGTACCTGTTGAGGCCAGAAGAAAGCATTGGATACCCTGGATCTGGAGTCACTGATGGTTGGAAGCTGCCCAGTGTAGTCCTCTGGAAGAGCAGCACGCATTCTTAACTACTGAGTCCTCTCTCTAGTCCTGAAATGGTTTGGTTGTTTGGTTTGGTTTAACACAGTAAAAGTTCGTTCCCTCTGGCTAAAACAGTACCAAAAGGGCATATTAGTTAGCCAGTCAACTGTCTGTCTGTCAGTAACTGCTGTATTCCTACCAAGCACCAGAGGAAATAAAAGCTGGCTCTCCATTTACCCAAGTGGAGCCTAAATGATCATCCTTACAAAGCGCTAACGGTGTACTCAAATAGCCCGTGTAAACCTGAAGAGACAGACCACCAACCCAATTATGGCCAAATTAAAGCAAGCTTTATTGTGTACTTCCAGAGAGCCAGCTAGCGCCGGTCTCCCCTTAAAGCAGGGCTCCAGAGACCAGCTCTAAGCCAGTTTCTCAGGCTCCTTTTATAGGGCAAAATTATGGAGGGGGATTTTTGCCAGCAAGTGTGGTTATAGAAACAAGACCAGGCAGTTAGGATTTTACAAAGCAGTTAAGGAAATCTCCCTAGAGCATTTGTTACAGAACATTTCATGGTTATGAGGTGGGGTGCAGCTCAGCTCTCCGAGAAACAGAAACTCATGTTTTACAGTAAATAGAAACTTAACACAGCTACAGACTCAAATGGCCGTCTGATTATAAAATGGAGTTGTGCTGACTCTTCACCTTGTAATATGGGAGGAAACTAAGCAGGAAGCCAGGACTTCTATCTCCTATGGTAACAGGTTCTCTTCTGCTGATTATTGGCACTGGTGGGGACCACGTGAGCATCCTGAGATTCGAGTTTAAGTTGCCATTAGTGGTGTGACCCTCGGGCTCTTATGGTGTGTCAAAGGAGGCTTGGTGTAGTGCAGAACTTCATTATGGCCTTGTGGGATCAAGTCCACCCCCATTGCATGACTGGTGGATACCAAGGAATCAGAATTCCAGTCGCTTTCCCAGTAACTGGGTGCTGCTTCCCTGAGGAGCAATAAGTGTTGAGAGTAGGTTTCTCCTCTCAGGTGGAGTGCTCAGGCCTCAGTACCTCAGAGCAGTACCTCTGCCTCCTGCTGAAACACTACCAGAAAAAGAAAGAACCAGCCAAAGCAGAAGGAATAAGTAAAATTCAGAGGTTCAGAAGCTTCTAGGGAGAGGCTAGGTTCCAGCAGCAAGTGAGGTCATTTTAAGAAACGAGAGATCTCAGACTAAGTTGCAAAGGCAGGCAGCAGACGGGACACCAAGGTACACTTGGGTTACAACTCCGAGGCAAGGATTTTGTTAAAAGCTGAAGGATGAGTCTTCAATGAACAATTAATTGCAGACACTCTGGGAGCAAACTGGAAAAAAATAGAAGAAAGATTTAGGAAAGAAACAGAAGACATAAAGAAAACTAAACAGAAATAAGAGAATTAAACAGAAATAAGAGAATTGGTGCTAGAGGGATGCAAGGCTCGTCAGTTAAGAGCAGAGGGTGCTCCTGCACAGGACTGGGTTCAGTTCTCACTGAGGCTAACATCTGTAATCCATTACCAGAGGACCCAACACCTCTTCTGGCCCCCACAGACACAGGACACACATGTTGCACACATACACTCAGGCAAACTCTCCAACACATAAAATAACTCAAAAATATTTTTAAATTACTAGAATTGAAAAATATAATATGTGAAAATCTGGGTGAATAGGCTCAACAAAAGAATTAAGAAAACAGGAAAGGAGCAGCAAGCTGTAGGGCAGAGCAATGGGGGCTACCCCGACCATGCAGAGGAGATGGGGGGCTACCCCGGCCTAAACCATGCAGAGCAATGGGGGCTACCCCGACCTAAACCATGCAGAGGAGATGGGGGGCTACCCCGACCTAAACCATGCAGAGCAGTGGGGGCTACCCCGACCTAAACCATGCAGAGGAGATGGGGGGCTACCCCGACCTAAACCATGCAGAGGAGATGGGGGGCTACCCTGACCTAAACCATGCAGAGGAGATGGGGGGCTACCCCGACCTAAACCATGCAGAGGAGATGGGGGGCTACCCCGACCTAAACCATGCAGAGGAGATGGGGCAGAAAGGATGAGAAAGGTTAGGGCTTCTGTAACTATGACAACACACATAGTGTTAGTGTCCTTTGGAACTGTGACAGCATGCATAGTGTTAATGTCCTTTGGAACTGTGACAGCATGCATAGTGTTAGTGTTCTTTGGAACTGTGACAGCACATATAGTGTTCATGTGGAACTGTGATAGTGTGCATAATATTAATGTCACCGGTGTCTCAGGACCAGAAAAAGAGGGTAGAACTGAAAAGTAATTCAAATAAAACAATAGCTCAAAAATTCTCAAGTTTTTAAAAATCTGCTTTTACTGTATTTTATGTGTATGAGTGCTTTATCTGGGTGTATGTGTACCATATGAATGCCCACTGCCCTTGGATTCCTTTGAACTCGAATTGTGGATAGTTCTAAGTCACCATATTGGTGCTGTCGATTGAATCCTGGTCCTCTGGAAGAGCAGCCAGTCTCTTAACCACTGAGCCATCTCTACTGCCAATTCCCCCTTAAGACAGGGTCTCACTATCATCCTTGGCTGGACTCATACTAGCTCTGTAGACTCAGGTAGGCCTTAAACTCACAGAGACCCATGTGCCTCTGCCTCCAGAGTGCTGAGACTAAAGGCATGTGCTACCATACCCTGCTTATAAGCCTAAAGTTTCAGGAAGCTGAATGAGCTGAACAGCAATGAAATCCATGCTAAGAAAATGTCACATTTTGCTGGGGATGAGGACTGGGTGGTATGCCTACTGTGTACAAAGCCCTGGCTTTGATTCCCAGCCATGCATAAACCAGGCATAGTAGTTGTACTGGATAGTTTCATGTTAACTTGACATCGTCTAAAGTCATCTAAGAGGAGGCATGAAAGTGCCTCAGGGGCTGGGGGGATGGGTACTGAAACGGAAGGATTAAGTAAAGAGAGAGAGGAAAGAGGGGGACAAAGGCGGGAAACACAGGAGAGACAGCTAAAATTAAGGACCATTGAGGAATAGTGTGGAAACTCAATACAGTAGAAGCTTCCAAAAAATATTATGTATATATTATAATTCATGTCAGAAAGTTCAGAAGCCACAGAGCTAGTGACTTCTCACTGCCTACCAATAGTCCCTGATGCACCTTCCTGGATTTCAGAATATTGTCGCTGGTGCTGTTATTGATGTCTATCTGGGATTTGATCTGAAGCCTCAAGCAAGCATTCTTACCATCGCACTATACATCCACGTCAGAATCCACCATTGCACTAGAAATCCACGTCAGAATTCACTATTGCACTATACATCCACGTCAGAATTCACCATTGCACTAGACATCCACGTCAGAATCCACCATTGCACTAGACATCCACGTCAGAATCCACCATTGCACTAGACATCCACGTCAGAAT